TCTTACAATTTGCCATGCGTCGTCTTGGTTAGTTGTGGTTTTCGGGCTAGTCACAGATCTGCCTGGGTCCTGGGTTCTGTTTTGCACAGCCCTACTTTTTGCAGCAACTCGAACTGAGCAACTCTGGTCCCATGTTTTGTGTCCCTTGCTACAATTGCTGCAGCGCACTTCTTGTTTTCCTCCGCAATTGTGCGTGTTATGCTCCCCTGCACAGTGACCGCATTTTGATTCCGCGGCACACATTTTCGCACTGTGTCCGTACTTTTGACAGTTAAAGCATTACAACATGCGGAACCCTGTCCTGGATATTTCCGTGGCCTTAAGTTCGTATTGCCACATAAGCCCCTTTGATATTACCATGTCTACTTGTTCAGCCTGTGCAATCCACAGGATTATAGACCCTGATTTTTTCCCCTGTTGTTGGTTTTTCTTAAGTCATACGGCTCTTTGTGTGACCATGCCTTGGATGTACACGTCGTTGGCTTTTTGGAGCTGTTTTAGGTGCTCCTGATTTTCTGGCATAAAGGAGAGCGGCATGTCATGTACGAGTACCTGTTGTATAGGGACAGCGACATGTGCTGAAGGCGCAAGCTTAATGGTCCAGTCCTTATGCCGTTCCATTAATTCCTTTGTACCCTCTCCTGCAAAGTAGACTTTGACTTGACCGTTTGTCATTTGTCTCGCGCCTACTATCTGCTTAACGCCTATCTTTTTGACCAACTCCTCGCTCGAGAGATTGGCTATTTCCTTTTTTTCCGCCTCGTCCTGGATACAGATCGTAGTTCCGTAAGACTCTCCCTTACTTGCAATTTTTGCCCAGGAGCGGCTCTGGGCTGGCATAGGTGCTTGGTTCTGTATTGTTGTTATTTATGCGACAGTGGAGTTAAGAGTATACTGCATACCAGCTATATATTCAGCTGCGTGTGGATACTTGCTCTCGAAATCAGATTCCTTATAATATAAATATATATATATAATTTATTGTGTGTATTATAACTACAACTATTGGTGCTACTTTTCTTGTTCTTACAATTATCTACACACTTCACAATTACGGAAAGTGTGGAATTCTAAGCGAGACACGTGATACAATTACAGATTTATCGCATGACTTTCAACATGTATGATGGTGGCTTTAAGAGGGCAAGACTGAACACCTGTACGCGGTGTCCTCTACGAACCTGGGAGTGAAATATTCTCCCAGAGTCAAGTTCGGTCAAATTTCGCAATATCAAAGAGGTTGGCCCACGAGGCAAAAATCCAAATTACTCCTCCACGTCGTTTTATCGCTCCCAACGAGTTTGACTCCTATCTTCGTCTCATCAAGTCTACAAGTATGACCAAGTACATCCTCATCCCGATGACCACACCACTCTTCGACCTTCTCTGGCCTCAGTTGACCGCCAAATACACGCCCACGCCGATATTTATACCCGACGGAGGAAGCAAAGCGTGGCGCACAAATCTGGGAGACAGTTCTTTGGGATGGACGTGAGAGGGATTAGGACAAGTTTACAAGATGATGCGAAGGACGGATATAACCTCGAAGGGCGTGAGATTCCGAATTTTGGCAAGGAGTTTTACGAATTGAGCTTTGTGCACGCCAAGACTTCGCTTGCGAGAGTGCAGCTGACACTATAAAAACAAGCCAACGATGGAAGGTGTTGTGGTCCGCCTCCTGGTGGTGTTCTCCGGTATAGTTTGAGTAGCCTGGGCACCTACTCCACTTGGGAAGGAGACATCTCAGATCATATTTCGCGCGGAGAAAAGTTGAAAGATGATGGAGGCATGTCTGGATAACTCAGGGTTTTTGAGATGTTCCCCTGGGTGGGTATTCACGGATGAGGGTTGACTTGGGGTGAAGAAAAAGCCACCATAACTTCGCAGTGGTACTTGCAAATGAAATCTGAGGCATGAGTGCTCTTCCTTTACGTTGAATCATCTATCCTGTACTTTTCTTTGATATTGTGTCATAGCTAGATAGCTGCATACGCAATTAAAATCTGATGCAAAAAAAAAAAAAGATGGTGGCTTTAGTGCCCTTGATTTCCTGTAGTATTTTAGCCATTGCAGAATTTTCATCGCTGTGGCTTATCTACGGGGGTTTATGAGGTGAGACTTTCGCTTTCTGAAGGCTTTCAATCACTTGGATCGCCTCTTCGATTATGCTTCTGTATTCTCTACTGGAGAGCTCTTCGCATTTCGTTGCGTCCTTGAATCTTTTTAGGGACGCGTTCATGTCTTGTGGCGCTTTTGACGCGACGCTGCCACCTCTAGAGCCCGCACAAGGCATTGCACCATTAATTCCTCTCGTAGGAATACTCGTCATCACGATTACGATATGCAGTCAATTTTATGGATAAAAATCTATGGGGTCGACTTTTCGGAATGTGAATGTTTTTCAATTGATGGTTACTTTGTTGTTTACAATTATATTGCCTGTTTATCATAGGTCTGACTGTTACTGGGCAACTAAGTATCATTAAAGAATTGAGGCCTGCCTGCCCAGTTGTTTGTAGTCATATATATGATTTTTGTATCTATTTTTCTATCGATCATCATATCGGTCCTCATCCATAAATTCTATAATTGAATGCAATCCTCCCATCACTGCAATCTCATAACCTTTTATAGTATGTTAAGAGAGGTATTGTTGAGAAGTCGTCAAATGGAGATATGCTTGAGATTGATTTCGACTTCGATTCGGATGCGATTCTTCTTGGCTTTGCTAGATATGCAGAGCATATTGAGCGAGTACACCGGCACCACTAGAATGTGAAGAGTCAGTATGTGCCGGTAAGTTCCATGGGTAGATACAGCGGCAAATGGCTGTCCGTCATGAACTGTTTATCAGTGAAATTGAATGAATGACTCAGGGTGTTTGATGACTTTTCCGAAGCGAGAATTCACGGATGAAGGTTGAGCTGGGGTGAAGAAAAATCCGCCATAAATTCGCAGTAGTACTTCAAAAAAAGTATTAGGCACAAACGATCAGGTTTTAAAATGACTTATCCTTTCTTCACATTTACCATAAAAATTTTCCATAACTAGATAGATGATTAAAATTATGTTGTACTTAAAAATTAGTTCTTATATTCAAGTAGTTTCCTGTTGCGCCACGACTAGTGACTAACCCCTGAATGCATGCATCACAAATTCAGCTCCTATATATCTCGTATAAGATTTGAACTAGCTCTAGCATACCAAATTATAAGAGGCAATATGATGGGCTTAAAGAAATTATTGCTAGGATTCAGTGGTCCATCTAAGTTTTAGTTTACATAAGGGAGAGAAGTTATAAAATTTGCATCTATCCGTGCTTAACGCCGCACCATGATAGACACCTTAATTTTCTTCAATATCAGCAGACTAAACCCCTATCTGTAGAGTTATTTGCGAATGAAATCTCAAATATGCTTATTTTTAATTCCTACAGAGTAATTCAATATGTATGCAAAGCACCGATCATGTATCGTGGCAAGAAAGCTAGATATGGTTAAATGATATCAGAAAAAAAATACTACACACCTAGCCACTTGACACACGTTCTTAAGAGCCACGATAAAATAGATTTTGGTCTAAGTCTTCCAATCATATCATTTGGAGATCATCATAGACTAGATTCGGGTCTTCAAAATTAGAAGCCATGGGTTGCAGGATGGGCATAAAACCATCCTTGAGCTACATCTTGTAAGGCCAAACCGTAATACTTGATAGACAATGAATCAGTCATTTGCCAGCGGGTGATAGTCCACTGTGGAGGGAAGTGGGTAATGTTCTGCTAAATCCACAAGTATACAGGGACTCTTATGGCCTGACTCGATTGCTTAATCTATTGATTGAGCTAGCTCAAATCAGTCACTTACCGGTCTCTACATAGTTACATATCTAATCAAAATTAATTTGCAACTGGAGTTTTGCAAAATCCGAAAAATGCATCTCAAGAGGTGAGATTTGTAACACGTACACTCGGCATCATATTTTTTTCACTTCTCATTTCACGATCCAATTTTTCAATCTGACTTTATCATCAAGATGTGGATTAAGTTCTGCATCTCCCTTTTCCTATCATGGTTAATTCATCAAGTCAAGTGTATAGATAGACCATACTCGGATATGTACCTTCCAGATGGAACCGATGGCATCGTTTGTGAAACCAAGTTTTTTTCGATCGATTATGCACGGCAAGTGGCAAGAGCAGTCATTGGGGAATTTTTCTTTGGAAAATATTTCCAAAATTATCCGACATTATTCGAAGATAGAAAACTCTTCAATGTGAAATCAGACATTTTTCTCTCATGGCCTGCTTAGCCCAGAGATACAATTTTTACTGGTGGTAAATGAGACCCAAAAATTTTTCTTTCTTTACACGAAGACCGAAACTGAACTAGGATCTAGGGAATCCAGGGAAATTCCGTCTCATCGTCAATATTAGAGGTCAAATCGTGGGCATTGTAATTAAAGATATCAATCACCACAACAACCAAGTCAGTTTCGAGAAATGTAAGCCAGTACGTAGATCTATTGCTGAAGACAATATCGAAAGTAGACTTCTGGATGAATTCTGGAGAATAGCTTTTCCCAGATACGGGTTTAATTGTGGCTCAAGATATTTTCCATTATCCACGGTTAAGAGTGGAAATGATCTAGACTCAAACTACTATTTTCAAAACGTACTGGAAGACAAAGATAAGCTCACATACTTTGAGAAATATAAAGGTGATCAATTTATCGGAGATAATCTTCGCCTTTACCCTCTGCATCATAGTTCAGATAGCAAACTTGGTTCCGGTAATTTTATTCTTCAATAAAAGTTACTTCAAAGCTCTACCTTCCTTTCGATAGGTCCGTTTGGTTTTTTTCGAGTTGTTTTTGATAAGAAAGATCACGATTTCGAGGGGATAATCAATCTAATAGATAGCGAAGCGAAATGTGTATCTGTGTGGGATTTATCATCGCCCTCACCCGATACAATTTATAGGCCATCCTCCATCTTCAACATGGAGAGAATGCCAGACAAAGATTGGCCCAAGACTTGCGCTGGACGTAGATTCAAATACAAAACAATATGGCTTTATATAGAGTTCGCCTTGAAAGATTGGTCAGCGAATTGGGATGGTAGAGAACTCAATTTTCCCATTGTGGAACAAAACGGATTAAATTTTTGGCCAGTGAGAATCCCAGAAACCAATAATAAAAGTATGTATAATTGATGAATTTATCACAAAAATGCTAATTTTACAAATCTAGACTACGCGCATGCGTTTGCGATAGGTCATGATACCAAAAAGGATGTTTACGGTTTGTACCAAGCTGACTTACGCAATGGTGCCTTGATCAATTTTCAAAAATGTCTAGATATTCCTCTCCGTGAAATTCGCAATCTTCAAGGTAAGCTTAGACTAGCCAAACAATTGTAGAAATATCCCCTTTTTTATTGTGCTTTCATAGAACATTCAACCATGCCTAAACCGTAAAAAAAGTTCTTTTGTTGGAAGTACAGTTATTTGCACTTCTTTCCATTGACCGGTGTGATCGCGTACATCTTGCCTGGAAAATGCCTTTGAGGTCAGTCAGGAATCCACACCTTTGATACAAAGAGACTTGAGCACTAAATCCGTTTGAGTCCTATTCATACCGATTTTGTTTTATTCATTTTTTTGTTTTATTCATTTACGTGCTAGGTAAAGTGATTCCCGTTGCACTACTACTGGAGCTTGAGCACGGGTGGGGCCGGGCCGGATCAGGTTAACTACCGTAAAGTACAAGTGCCTCGTCCCCCGTAAATGACCGGACCACCTCAGACTCCACCCATGTGTTGAATCATGTCAAGCCCAACCGTCCAGAGAACCCTCTTTTGACGCGCCGAAGCGCAAATTCCTCCTCAGCCTTGGCCACGATTCAAGAGCTGTTTTTTTTTATTATATTAAAGTCCTAAGCTAAAGCTCTAGGTCCACTATCGGTACAAGACTGGTGTAACCGGCGAGGATCACTGCTTACAGGCCCAACTCATTCCAACCGCGAGGCCCGCTACAGAAAAAGTAGAAGGTATATTATAACTCAGAAGACACCACCTACTCCGACTCCGAAACCGAGACCCCATCCTTCAACCCCAAATCCAAGTACAAAAAAAAGAATTTCCCCCGAGAAACGACACTTCTCGCATCGATCCCTTTCGTGTCATGCGTTATGGCAATGACAAGTTTATCTGATCCCCGCTGAGAGCAGTGGATGAGTGGGCAGGTTGGCTATCAAAACAGCCGGTTTCCTCCGCAAATAATTTGAAGCTATCGTGGCACTCGGGACCGAGAAGCTTTTTGATAAAGTCAGTGTGGGACATTGACTTTCTGAGCCTACGCGATTGTTGTGCGTGACGGCTACAGTAGGTGAAGTGGGTTGGAGTAGTTTCCTTCCTGGAAGAGCACTCCATGGGGGCGTATGGATTGTTGAAACGGCGATGGTATGTCGCAAAATTGCCGTGACCTGTTCGTACTGTAATTAGTGCCCGGAGTAGGTGCCTAGAGAGAGACAGTTCGGGTGGTTTGCGTCTCCGCACCTGTAGGTTGAGTTGGCGGTATTTAGGCGGACAGGCCTCTTCCCACCAACTGTCCAGCAATCTCTGCCGTCTGCGATTCATGAGGCCTCGAAGATGTGCCAGAGTACTGGATCCTGGTTGAGTATCCAGGCTAGGCAATTCTCGAAGTGCTGCACGGGCCATGGCGTCTGCCTCTTCATTTCCTTGGATTCCTGCATGTCCTGGAACCCACTTTACCAATACTTTTGCCACGTTACTTAATGCACGGAATCTGCGTACATCTTCAAGGCTGATTGTGGACGAGCCTGTCGTTCGTGCGCCTACAGCCTGCTGGCTGTCTAGAAACACGTGGATTTGCTGCGACCCTCCTACTTTCCTGTACTTTTCGTTCTCCAAGAGCTCCAGTGCGGCCTCTAGAGCCTTTCTTGCTCCTACTATCTCTGCATCCAGCACCTCTCCCCCGTGCTTGATGCCACTTGCTTTGCCGATGAGTTTCCCATTCTTCCTCAGAGCGAAACCCCAGGCGGAGCGTTCATGTCCCTCCGATGAACTATTCGAGTATGCGCAAATGTCCGTTCTTGGCACGTTGCTAATTCGTCTAACGCAATCTTCGCGTTCCATCGACTTTGAGCCTGATTTCCTAGAGTAAACCACCGGCGTCAGACTTTCAGGGGCTTCTGCTTCCGGAAGCTCTCGGTAAGCACGCTGTAGCCATGACATCTGTATTTCTGGTCTGGCTAAGGTTTTGGCGGTCTTTTTGAATTTTTGGCTGCCGACATTCGGGCACACGGAAGCGCGGATCCTCAAAGTGTGTCGATCGTCAAGGGTCTTAAGCCTTGCCGAAAGCCGGAGACGGTTTCCCTCTAGTATAACCTTTGCCAGCGGGATTCCTCCTTCTCTATGAACGACTACGTTGGGTGTTGTACTCATCACTGTAAGTGCAGCCCGCAATCCCATCAGGTTAGCTTTGTCAACCATGCTGCAGAGGTCTGAGGTTGATGACCTGACCATTCCTCGTGTGGTTGGGCGTTTGGACCCTGGCCGCCAGACATCAGGTCCAAAAGTTGCTAGCAAGACAACGCACATGTCTACTGCGCTGGCTAACGGCCCGGGGGCTTCTCCCCGAATGGAAGAGTTGAAGCGGCGCATGTGCTGGGCAAATTTTACTGCTTTACCGCACCACGTAGTTACATGGTGTTTGAAATTGAGTCGTGGATCTAGATACACGCCTAACCAGCGAATATTCTCCGTAGGCTCAATTAGGGTTCCGTTTACATGAACACCAACTGCTTCCTCTCGGCGTCGTCCTGGGAATTGAATTACTTCGAATTTTTCCGTGTCAAAGTCGACGGCATTATTTCGCGCCCATTCGAGAAGATGATCTGTCTCACATTGTACAGCAGCGGCAGATTCAGCTATTGTGCGGCCGAACTCGAGAATACCGATGTCGTCGGCGTAGCTAAACCTCAATCCCTGGGTACCACTTAGCATCGACTCCGCCATATACAGAAGGAATAGTAGTGGCGAAATTGATGATCCCTGGGGGACTCCACATACCAGCTCTCTCTGGGTGGTGACTCCACCGGAGAAACGCACTTGTACCTTCCGATGTGTGAGGAATGAAGTCGTCCACCGGAGGATCGAGTCTGGCCATCCCTAGGCTTGCATGCGTCTAACCAAGCGATTGTGGAGCAGTGCATCGAACGCTCCTTGGACGTCTAAAGTTACGAAAGTTGAGGCCCATCCCTGGGCTTGCATGCGCCTAACCAAGCGATTGTGAAGCACTGCATCGAACGCTCCTTGGACGTCTAAAGTTACGAAAGTTGAGGCCCATCCCTGGAAGCGTGCTTCTTCAAAGTCATGGACTACACAGGACACCAGGTCCGTCGCAGATGGCTTCGGAAGCGCACCGAATTGTTGATGGCCAACCACATCACAGGTGATTGCGAGGTGCGCCATTCGCTTGGCAAGAAGTCTTTCTAATCCTTTGCCTATGCATGAAAGGAGGGCTATAGGTCTCCAGCCTTTGATTGTGGTTGGGTCCCGATTTGGCTTTTCCTATAGCACCACTTCTGCAAGTTTGAAGCAAGATGGGTGGGTGCCGAGCCGTATGCAAGCTCTAAAGAGCTGCGCAACACACGGTCCGATCGTCTTCCAGCAAGCCTCAAGTAGCTCAACCGTGATTCCATCTGCCCCTGGTACATGCTCGCACTTCCTCATCTGAGATTTCACCTTCCCAAGGTATCCCGTTATCGCTGGGGGTGTTGCATGGCGTAAAGTCGTCCGATTGTTGGTGACGTGCAAGAAGGGCATCCTGGAGAATGATAGCTCGCTCCAACGGATCTGTGATTAACTTTCCATTGTGATTGAGCGGCAGGGTGGCTTTGACCTTTCTGTGGTTTGCCGAACGCATCAGCTTGAATATGTCAGACGGTGCTATCATTGCTTCCACTTGAGTTGTCTGATACTCTTTCTTGGAGGCTGTGATTGTCGCAAGAAGCTTCTTCGCACAAGTGGCCCGCTATGTCGGTGTCGTTGCGGCTCGGTATTTGGCGAGTACGGATTTGCACCTGGGAGTCCACCACGGCGCAGATTTATCGCCTTCCTTTATGGCCCGGGTTCCAGTCGCTTTTATGGCCTCCGAGAGATGGAAGCATATTTCTTGGGCGTACTCGTCCACTTTCTCTGTTGTGCTCAAGTCAATAGCTGGATGTACCCACATGGCAACAGCTCGCACAAAATTAGGCAGATTTTTCTTGGGGACCCTGATCTTTGGTGGAGCCGGATAATTGTTGACGTTTGCGGCAGGTATGATTCCGCGGATCAGAAGATGGTTGCTGGTCATACACTCCTCCCGATCGACCCAAGCGCGGGGTCCAGATATGTTGGTCCAAGCGAGATCCAGAGTATTGCCAGCTTAGTGAGTCGGCTCTCCAATTATAAGGCAAGAGAGGTTGTGATCTTCCGCCCACCTCTCTATCTCATCACCCTGTCCATAAGGCCGAGTTGCTCCGGGTTGCCAGGCAGCATGCACGGAGTTGAAGTCCCCGGCTGCAATGCACCCCGCAGACGGTTTCCAGTCGACAAGCGTGCGGACTGCATTCGGGTCGCTGGGAGCCTTGTACACGTTGAGAAATGTGATTCCATTGACCAGTACCCAGCAGTAGTCCCCAGTCAGCCTATTACAAGGGAAAATCTGCTCGGCCAATATCACCTTTTCGTTTTTCTGAGTGTAAGTCACCTCCCTCGGTCTGACATCCACACTTCCATACGGTGTATGACACATATACCCTGGGTGTGATATGGTTTCTTTGAATTTTAAGTTCCATCGCGGTTCTTGTATTAGCACAACATCTTCACCTGGCTGGTAAGCTCCATAGTGCGCAATGTTGTGTGTTGGGCCACTCCTGCCTACGTCGATTGACATAAAACTTTGTGTAGGAGGGAGGCGGGAAAGGGCCTGTAGGGCGCCCTTCACAAAGCTTCTTCAGGGTTCAAGGCCCCAAAGCCCGAACCCTCAGTCATTGCTGTATCTGTCGATAGATTTTCCTTAACAGCAGCTGGAGATTTGGTCGTGTCGATCTTGCGGCAGCTGTAGTAGCCTCTGCAGCCTTGGTAGCAGCTTTGGCTCGAGCGACAGCCTGGTACTCGCGTTGGACAGCTTGGCGAAACGTCAAAAGTTGCTCCCTGGTAACTGGGCCGGACATGTAAGGACGAGCTAGACAGTCTCGACTGCCAGATTGATGAGGCCTCCGCAGTTTCGACATTTAGCGGCTGCTTTACACTCGAATGCCGATTGCATGGTGGATTCGCAGTTCCAGTATACTTGCGCGCGAGAACACCCACGGGTGGCGTGGAAACCGAGACATCGCCTACATTGCTGTG